TCTCATCAACAAACCAAAACACAACTGAAATAATTCACTTCTAAACGCCTTTTTCCTCACATGGCTTGTACGTACCAGATGCCTACAACCATAAGATAAGTTATGCTTGGTTCTAAAATCTCACAGCGGGGCAGGGGGAAAGCACAAGGAATCTACTATCACCTCAACAGCCACTATTAATCAAGGAAAAAAAACAAGTCAAACTTGGGGTGTGTTATTGTGCTTAGAACATATTAAACATGGAGCACATGTAACATACTTAGGAGACTCCTTCATTACAATAAATTATAAACCTCTCATATTCTGTGCCAGTAAATGTTGACTAGAACTAGCAAAAGACTGACCAGAATCATGGTCATCTGTCCCATATGTCATATTAATGGTACTGAGCTTTTTAATGCAGCTATAGAATGAAGACAACCAGAATGAAGACAAAAGGCTGCTATTTCTGAGTACTATTTTTTCATTAGCCATCTAGCATACACAGAAAAAAGAGGCCTCATCTAGAGCCCACCCCCTGTGATGGGCCATGGTCTATTAACTCCTAGGTCGAGGGAAAAAAAAGTGCTGAAATTAGTGACCAATTGAAATGTCAACTTTTGTAATTTTCATAAAAGCTTCTGAAAAAACTTGCTGTAACTATTAGCTCAATAGCCTACAAAAGAACTGATAAAAGCTTTCATTAAACAAAATTATATTTACAGAAAACCCGAACTTTTAAATATTTTTATATTCCCATCAGTTACAAAGTTAAAAAAAAATCACATTTCCTAAGCACTGAATCTTAATCATCATCAGTAAGCTTTTATTTTGTCAACAACTCGAGCAAAACTACAGCTTCCAATTTCAGGGCTGCTCAACTGATACGTATCCAAAAAAGACATATTTAGATAGCTGGAAAACATCCAACTTCATTGTTAACTTAATAATGGAAAAGCTAATTAATGGATTCCAATACATCAGACTAGAAATCATCATTATGGTTGTAAGCAGACTGAACAAATATTTCATATAATCAACATCAGTAAAATCCAGAACATTTGGTGATAAAAATCTCAGGGACTTCCATAAAAACTAAACTGATTTCATGGAGCACCTGAACTATTTTCCCCTACCCCTCTATTTAAGGTTTAAAAACGCAGTACACAGTAGAGCTGTTACATTTCTTAATTTAATTCTGCCAAAAAGTGGGTTTGAGGCTACACAGTTTGGGTTAGCACTGAATTTTAATAGCATTAACATTGAGTGTATTTATGGCTATTGCAAGTTTTCCACATAGGACAGCCTATAAATTTAAGAAAGAAGTAATAGATGAAGATCATGGAAACTAACCAATGAACTAAAATAACTGAGTAAAAATCACCCGTAACTTCAATGAGTCCAAAATTATAAGCTTTGCTTATTAACTATTCTTAAACTCTTTTTTACAGTTCTATGCTGATAAAGCTTGTTTCACCTTTTGAGTACAAAGCAGCTTCAATTTATTTATAAAAGAAAATGTTTACAATAAGTACACAACAAATGAAGAAGATGGGAAAAGCTGAACAAAAATCCTGTTCTTGATTTCTGAATAGTAACCATTTTGCTAACCATTTAGCCTTTGCAGCTATGATAATGTTCCTTGAAGGATATGAACAACACTGGCCGTTAGAAGAAAATTTTGTTAGTAAAAGTCTCACCAAGAAGGGCAGACATGTTCTGAAATATTCTCAGGAGCTCCGGTGTAAGACAGGGACTATTCTCCAATGTTACTAACCTAAGGATAGATAAAGTGAAATTAGACCACCTACACATAATAGAGTGATAATTTTGACAGATGCAAAACACTGCAAAGGTCTAGTAACAATGTATTTAATCTTCCAGTAAATACTAACGACAGCTTGATGAACATTTCAAGTTACAATGTTACCAATAGCATAAACGTGGACCTTGCTAAAGCAAGAAAACAAAAAGGCATTCACACTACTAAAAACAACATATCCTCAAAAATGCAGCATTGGGAATGTTTAAGGATCCAACTTCAGCAGCCAGGAGAAGAGAAAGGACAAGAGAAGGACATTCAGCATACAGGAAAACGTTTGGAGCATATAAAAACCTCCAAGGAGGTCCTGCAGCCAAACGCCCAAAACTGCTGCATCAACAGTATCTGTATCAATCGTAACCAATTGTATCAATTTAAAAATTCTGTTGTTTGAAAAATGCTTACATTTAGAAAACAAAAAGAAAAAAGATACCACTTGCACCACAAAAAAAAAAAAAGACACAAGCACCACCATCACATTCCAGCGTGTCCCCACAGTTTAGGTGTATGGCTATAGTATCTAATTAACACTGTAGGTGGTGTAAACTATCTTGACTGGCCTCCAGCTGCTTTTTCTGGAAGCAGTTGGAGTCCTGTAAGCCCTGGCATTGCCTCCCAGCTCCATCCTGAAGCTCTAGGAAATCTTTAAAAGAAGGAGCTTACGCACATATGAATAACTCTCTCATGATCAGATCAAGAAAAAAAAGTTATGAACTGATGCACTAAAAAAGTCCCTAATTTAAATTTCTTCAAGATCTTACACTTCAAAGTAGCTCCTCCACCACCAAAAGCCTTTTAAATCTTAGTTTTGCTTCAGATAAAACAGGCCATTTGCAGGCTAACTATTTGTAATTCAAATGCCTATCTACAGTCTAGATCAAAGGAATCCTATTCCTTTCACTATTTCAGAATCAAGTCAATATACAACAATTTCCGTGAAAGAAATGTACTGGATGTCTGAATAATTGTTTTTCCTTTTAGAGTTCAGCTGCACCATAAACAAGCAAATTAACCTCAGGACAGATGGATTATATCACCCCTCACTGTTTTAGTTCAGAAAACTTGCATTTTGGAAGATAACTTCTCCAGCAGTTCACTCCTTAAAATTACATCTCTTCTAGCATCCAGCTCTGCGAATCAATGTGCAGTTGTACTCCCTAAAGTAAACCAAATAATTACCTCAACACTAACATTGTAGGGACACTAGATTTTTCACCATGCTGTTCATTATCACAACACAAATGTATTTTGCTAGCAATTGCCTGCAAATGGATTTTGTACTCAACTGGTTACTTCTAATTGTGCTTCTTTCATTAACTTCCTAACTAAACTCTCTTTGGAGAAAAGATACAAAATAGACGACATTAGGGGTCTATATATCTGGAATATATAAATAATTAATACAGTCAAAGCCTTTGTTAAATCATGTTTTTTGTTCGTTGGCTTTTTATGAGGGGAAAAAATAAAAGTTTTAAAATAAGACTTTGAAGAACACTCTTACCACAATTCTAAACCCTCTTCCAGAAGATGGATGTGCAGAGGCTGGAAACATCTGTACTTAGTTGAATCACCGGAAGTAGAAAAGGATAGAGATTTTTGCTGTCTGCTCCTCGTCCCTATAAGGATAAATAAAACATTTAAAACATTTCAAAAAGAAAATCTTTCAAAAAGTATTCAAGAATTTTTTTTTGAAAAAAAATATTTCAAAAAGAACAAAATTTATATGGCTACAAGTTACCATCAACTTCCATCCTTAGAACAATATCACTTAAATACAGTTATTAGTGCTATGTAGAAAAACCTGGGAGTCAAAGTAATCTGGAATTCTTGAGTTTTGAAGGCTATAAGAAGCTCTTACATGAGCTAAACAGGCTTAGCTGAATGAACAACCTAATGTTGATTAACACAGTCTGGTAAGCAATATATTCTGTCATGAAAGTTTCCTGCAACACATGGTCTACAAAATGGACAGGAAAAAAAGAAAATACATCTGTGAATCACTATGTTCATCTCTATTCTCAAAAATACTACTGCACTGAGAAGCTCTAGTTATGAGCAAAAACAAGGTGATAGGAATCCCTACTCAAACAGAACTTTAAAGCTCTGACCTTGCCACTTTAAAATAGACACTGAAAAATCAGACACACAAGTGTAGATAAAGGGAAGATTATGGGCATACATAAATTCTCAAAAGAAGAAGGAAAAAAAAAAAAAAAGAGAGAGAGATTGGAATACAAATAACCGTAGATGTGAAGATGTGATAGAAGTCTTTTATGTGGCAGATCAAACTTTTATAATCTCTGCTTCATAAATTAAAAAGGTTAAAAGGTTGAGAGAGGATGTCTTAAAAGTTGGGAAATTTCAGGAGGAATGAAGTAAGATTTTTTCCATATGCTATATAATAATGTTGCAGTAATCACTGCAAAAGTATGTCAGAGCTGTCACAAGTTATGAGGTAAAAAGGTAGTGGTAGAAATAACAATAAAAATTGTGAATTTCCAAAGAAATGTCAAAATATATCCTGGCAGATGTTAAGCATAATGGCTAGAATGTAAACACAAAGGCATCAGAGCAAACCTGACTGTGTTGGCCTCTATTTCAGTCTAAGATTTTGAAGTGTCATGACAAAATTCACAGAACTTTTGTAACTGGAATAGAAAATTCCACATTCCTGAGAGATAATGAAGGAACACAATGGAGAAATGAGTAGGACTATATTGTAGAATCAAGTCTGAACTATAAATAATAATTGAAGAAGAGGCTGACACTCCTAACACATTTTGGGAAATAAAAATCCAGAATGAGCTGTTTTCCACCCAAAGGAGGTAATGATTCCAAGACAAAAACAAAACAAAACAAAAACCCACCACACTAAGGCAACAGCATCTAGAATTCAGGCATTTTTCTCCCTAAAGAACTGTTTTTACTGAAATGTAAACAGACTACCATATTTTTATTAAAAGACTGAACGACAAATAGAAATACTCTACAAAAACAAAATACATCTTATTTTTGCCAACAAAATATATATATGTACTGAACCCCTAAGCGTATATGAGAGGGTAGAAAAAGATAGTGGCATCATTTATGGAACTATCACACCTTACCTGAACAAGATGGATTAGTGTGGTTAGAATGGCACATCGTAGCATATTGTGCTCCTCACTCTGTTTCCAAAGCAGGGGTAAATATTGAACCAAACATCCTACATATGGCCGTATCTGAAGTTCAGAACATAAATTTTTGTCTTAATGTGTGAAACAAGGTCATTAATTTATCTCAGGCTTAATTTTTGAAAGATTTAGGATCTACTTTTGTCACAATAGAAATACAATTTGCTGTAGTTTATTGCTCTCTCCCTTCTAAAACATCACATTCCATACTGTGTGACCAGAATGACTTCTGACTCTATAGTGTTCTGAAAAGAATATATTAGTTATGCTGACATTTGTGAAATGATAAAGCTTAGGAAGTATACACAGCACAAAATTCTTGGATTTTGACATCTGAAGATGCTCCCATATCACTGTGTTCTCCACTTAGACAGGATTACTGAATAACTGCATTCTCTAAAACCAGAAATAAAACAGGGAAAAAAAAAAAAGAAAAAAAAAACGCCTCTTAAAAGAGTTGTTGCAGAATGCCATACTCTCAATAGACTTAAAAGACCATCACTTAATTGGTTTTCCTGTTATTTCCCTGGGTAATAAAAGACACAAGGGAACTTGCTCCCATGTTGACTTTTTCTCCAAAGGACAATTAGAAAAAACTACATTTGGCTCTAAGAGAGGATTACTTGTAAAAAGAGAACATAAGCTTCAACCATGCATTATTTCTGTTTTAATTACAGCACTGCCATGAAAAAGAAGAGACAACAGCAGACAACAATTCATTTCTGCAAGAATATTGCCAGTTTCTTTAAATTGGAGGTGAAAATGTAGAAAGCTCTCGAAATTGATAATCAGGATTTAAAACCTTGGTATGCAGCTAAGGATAGTGCTAAGGTAATCCTCGTTCATACCAGAGCCTAGGAGAAATTAGGAATTTAACTGCACAGCCCCTAAACATTTTGTCACAAGAAATGTCTATAATATGTAAGGTTCACTAAAAAAATATAGTTCAGAGGTAAGAAGAGATAATTTGCCAGAAGTTTGGGAAAAAATAACATTCCAAGAATTAAAGAATTTAAATAAGCAGATGGATTTTATCTGTTCTCAAAAAAATCAAAACAAAAAAATGTAAAAAAAAAAAAACAAAAAAAAACCCATAGCAAATTTATAAAAGAATTAAGAAAAAAAGAATCAAGATCATGTTACACAAAAAGAGATCAGTGGAAAATGACATCAGGTAAAACAAATAATGCAGGTGTCTACTATAACAACAACTTATCTATTAATCAGAGATTTTTTTTCCTGCAAAAAAAATTTTAAAAATACCTGCATATTGACTCTTTCAATCACACAACAAAGAACATTAAGAATGTGCATTTTGGCGTCACATTCTGTAACTCCCTGAAGCAGCTGAAAGAGCAGTGTAAACATGGATTCCAGATACTAAAAGAAAAGCAAACAACAGCATAGACCATTAAAAAAAATTAGTGATACAAATCAGCACTTATTCCCATATGCTTACAACACTTACCTAAGACTTCCATGCACCTTGAACAACACTTACAGAATGTGCAAAATGTTTGCCTTTCCTTTGCAAAATGTGTATTAACCACTCACAGATTAAAGGTGGTTATAAAAAAATTTAAGAGATGCTCATGTGTAACAGCTCAAGCACATGACCTAATTTAGAGCATATAGTTGTCATGTTTTAAGAAACACGACTTTGCAGATGAGATTGTTTAAAGCCAAAAGCATCTCTCCAGAAAGAACATTTTATAGAGAGTTATAAACAAAGTTATAAGCTCTTCCAGCCTCTGGGTCAATAAATAAAATTCAGATTTTGAACTGAAGGAGGCATCTTAAACAACTTCAGCATAGATAACATAGCTTGCAGAAATTCCAGTGTTGATGCACTTTGCATTTTCATCTAGTCTGTTCCCCCCAAAAATTGTGACTCAAATGCAAACAAAATACAGATGGTAAATTTGTGAGACCAACATAAATCCTTGCTGTATTTATATTTACAGCTAATATTTCACTGCTTATGTAATGCCAGCACTAATGACCACAATAAACAACATCCAAATAGGACAGCAAGAAAGTGCTTCTATATTCAGAAGATGCTTTTATAATCAAACATCTACAGTTAGTGTGTATATATATAATATATATATATATAATATATATTTATAACATATGTGTGTGTGTGTATATGAAAACAGTGTTTGGAAAAGGCATATTGGAAAGGAAGCAACACTGATGAGGAGGCTTATTTTTTGAAAACAGCATTTGTGCTAGGAAAAAAAACAGTATCTTGCAGTACACGTACATCTAGTACTAAAGAGAACTGCAGCAAGTTATAATATTTATAATAGAAAGAGGTTTTGAATTGTATCTGTAAACTGCACATTAGAAACCTTAACAGAGGCAGGTGGAATCTTCAGACACTTTGGCCAAAAATTAAATATATGTGTGTGTGTGTGTGTGTGTGTGTGTGTATATATGTGTGTGTGTGTGTGTGTATACGCACACGTCTTACTGAGTAGTCTGGGTTAAAGTGAACTTGGAAATGATCTTTTCCTGCTTTCCTTATAAGAATCTGCTCATGAAAATACTCCCAATACAAATGCTCTTACTGGTAAGAACTGGTCAGTTCTGAATTTGAAGTCATCTACAGGTAAACAGTCATTAAGGCAAAATTGAATACTGAGTGACAAATAAATGAGAGATCAAGGTAAAGAAAGAATTCATTAGTAACTTCCAAATCATTTCCAGCCACTTCAAAATAACTTATCAAAAAATCTTAAGAGAAGGATATTTAACTTCAGCATTGTAGCTGCCTCTATATGGACCTGAAAGGCAAAAAAACATCAGAAACCATCACACTTACCTCCATTAAATATTTTGATTATCATCACAATATCTTCAAATAGCAAACCAATTATTGTTTTGACAATTGAATCCTCCCACATATTCTGTCATCTTCTAAGAAGTTTTGCTAGTTCAGCATAAGCATATTTTTGGTTAGAAACTTTTGAAGTTTATTTGGCAACATTAAAAAGATAATACCCATGAAAAAAAAAAAATAAGGCAATACCCTTAAAGGGTCAAGAAAGACCTGCATAAGAAGGTAGCTAGCCTGTGATAAAAGCTGTTGCAGTGGAGAATGATCTTAACCTCAGTATCTTATGGCTGTCACTCAAACAACTCAGAATCACAGATCAGCTCAAGCCAGCAAAACAGACATCCACGAAGCATTAACTTCAGAAACAGCCATGACATACTGAAACAGGAATGCACCCTGCCTGGATAATATTGTCTAGAATCACAAAAATAACTGTCAGACTGCAAATTCCTAACTAATATTAAACTAAAACTTTTTGCTAAGTGCTAGGGTTGTGGGATTTTGCTTTTTGTTTTGTTTGCTTTTAACACCTTCTCAGCCTCCAGTTCACTTGCTGGCTTCAAACCAGAGAACCCTACACAACAGCTTCTGCCAGCAGGAGAAAAATACGCTGGTACTTATTCTCTGCAATACAGAATATTGTTCCATCACAAAATAACCTTGTTTTCCCTATAGAAAGTATTCAAGAGTTTATGAGTGATCTATGCCTCACACCTTTTGCCATCGCCTAGAAAATACACTAAGGGTTCATTTCCTGATATGATATTTTACAGTTTTCAACTAAGTTTACATAAGAGATGGCATGTTTTGGATTAACCATTTGTCTCGTAAAAACAGATTAAGTGTCTATTCGTAAATACTTACCACTAAGTCTTGGTCCTGAAGCAAGTTACGAATCGCCTCATATAACATAGGTCTCAAATCTGATTTGAATTTTACAGAGATCCATTGTCCAATCAGCCAAATTACTTGTCGGCGTATTGGCTTATACCTTTAAAATTAGTTAAAAATAATAAAAATTTATACCTTTAAAAAATAGTAAAATAAATATATGTATATAAAAAATTGTACCTCACAATTCAATACCCGTCCTCTCTAAAATACTTTGATAGAAGGAAAAACTAAGTACCTGTGGAAGGAGTGTTTGTGGAAGAATTGTTTGAAAGCAGGAACTGAGAGGAAAACTAGGGCCTAACACAGCTCTGGCATTACAGAGGCCTGCTTGGGGTGATACACAGTTGCCACTTCCAGGATGGTTGGTATGCACGGACTCTGCTCCTCCACGGTTCCCTGGGCAACGCAATCTGCCCTCCTCGCAGCTGCAAAAGGGAGTAACGGAGGATGGAGCGGGGTGAAGGCTCCGCGGCCAAACTCTGTTGCACTCCCTGTGCTGGGCTGCTGATAAGCTGCACAGTGGATGTCTAATGGGAGATATACGATAAAATGTCCGGTGCTGAGCCAGCAAGGGTGGCAAATCACTCCTTTTGGATGAACTTTGCTTGAACTTTGCTCATTATAA